TATGGTGAAAGCCTGACAGCATCCCAACCTCATTAGTATTCTCCTTCTTTCCAATGATTATTCAATCCTTCTTCTCAAACCGGGACATAGAAGCTTTCTGTATCCAATTGCAGAGTTTTAGGCGGTTACAGAGACAGTGAGCTTCAAGGAAAACATTCCTCTCATCCACCTCTTTCATAGAGCTGAGAGTCCAAAGGCCAGAGTCATTGCTACTGAGGAAAGCTGGGCAGGGTTGAAGCTGAGGGCAGAGGTAAAAAGTAAGCAGCTACTGTTGCTTGGACACCTGGTAGCCTACAGCTGCCTTCCTCTTCTCTTTCCCATAGTCCACACCCCTGTCACCCAGATGCTGTAGATCTGTACCGGCTAGGACAGTGATCACATACGTCGATTTAAATTTCAGGTTGAGGGGCACCTGGGTGGCTCGGTTAAGCATCAGACTCTTGATTTTGGCTCAGGTCATGATCTCAGGGTAGTGAGATCAAGCCCTAAGTCAGGCTCATGCTTAGGAAGGAGTCTGCTTGGGATTCTTTCCCTCCCTGCTCCTCACTCCCTCCTCCTGCTTGCCCTCTCTCTCTCTGTCTAAAATAAATAAATGAAATCTTTTTGAAAAAAAAAATTCAGTTTGATAGGGAATTTCCATGTCTGTGCAGGTTCCCCCTACGTACACATGTATGCTATTAAATCTGATTTTCTCTTGTTAAATAAATAAATCGAAACTCCGTAAAAAACCCAGTTTGTAGTTGCAATAGCCACATTTCAAGTGCTTGATAGCCACATATGATTAGTGGTTACCAGGTCAGATAGTGCAAATATTGAGCATTTCCATCACTGCAGAGAATTCTACTGGACAGCACTACTGTAGATGACTACTCCCTCCCTCCATGTAAAATTTCTCTCCCATCCCTTTTTCTGCTGGCCAAGATCCTTACTCAAATAAATCATATGTCTCCTTTGACAAAGACTCTCTCTTGAACAAACTTTAGTGATTTAGGTTCCTCTGAGCCCCCCCCCCCACCTTTTTAAAGATTTTTATTTATTCATGAGAGACACACAGAGAGAGGCAGAGACACAGGCGGAAGGAGAAGCAGGCGCCATGCAGGGAGCCCGATGTGGGACTCGATCCAGGGACTCCAGGATCACGCCCTGAGTCAAAGGCAGACGCTCAACCACTGAGCCACCCAGGCATCCCTGAGCCCTTTTTTGACTAGGCTTCAACCGTGAGCTTCTATGTCTGTCCTTGCCAAGTCTGTAGCTGGGGCACAGGGTGCAAGGGCACCTGGCTATGGGAGCCCCAAACAGACCAGGTTCTGCCCCTCACCACTGATAAAGTCTAAAGGCAGAGAGATGAATCACAGAGAAACAAGAAAGGAATTTATTTCAGGGAGGCCAACGCGGGAAGACAGTAGACAGTCTCAAAGACCGTCTGTGAAGTGCTGAAAATACTTGCAGTTTCTACGAGGAAAATGTGGGACAAAGGTCAGTGGGTTCAAACAGGTGGGCAGTAAAGGTCAGGTCTATCACTGTCTTGGAGTTGGTCTTTTGGAGTCCTGCAGGCTCAGGGCAATCCTTGTTGCTTCAGGGGGTAGTTTCAGAGCAGGGGATGTTTTGCCTGCAGGGTCTTTTAAGAGATAGGTGAGAAAGGAGAACTTAATTACAGGAGAACTTAATTAAAGGAGAACTCAGTACAGACTGAGGTCAAAATGGAGGGAGTTGAAGTTCTCTTTCAAGACTAATTTCAGCAAAAATCCTAAATCAGCTTATTTAGAGAGAGAATCCTTATTCTTGATATCTGATCAATCCCTAACCTGCCTTCAGCAACAATCCTGTTAAATCAGTTTAGCAAGAATCCCCCATTCTTCATGTCTCCTCTTAGTAAATTTCTACCCAGTGACTCCCTCAGCCTCCTTGTTGGCTGTAAATTCCCACTTGTCCTTATTGTTTTTGGAACTGAGCACAATCTCTCTCCCCTTTTGTAATGTTCTTATTGCAATAGTCCCAAATAAAGTTTTCCTTATTGTTTTAAAAGGCTTCAGAATAATTTTTTCTCTAACACCTTTTTTGAAACCTTCCTTCTTGCCCTTAGGAAAAACTAATTTAATGCTACCTCAGCACTGTATAAATTCCTCCTATAAAGCTACTATCATGTGGCTTCATACTCATTTATGCACTGGTCTTCCCTTATGGATTACTGAACTCTCATAAAGAGTATAGTGAATCTCATGATTAAGAGCACAGTCACTTGAGTCAGAATGCTTGGTTCAAAGACTTCTGATGACACTTACTAGCCTGGTGAGCTTGCGCAAGTAACTTTACATCTCTAAGCCTCAATTGTCTCATCTGTAAAATGGGGATAATAAAAGTGCTTACATTGTAAGGATTAAATGAGAAAACCCACTGTGTCAGGTACAGAATAACTACCCCCAGCCTCAGTCTTTGTCTGTCTCCATTCCTAATATTTGAAGATAGAAGTGGAGGATTTTCTCTGTGAGTCTGAATATCAATTCTCATTCCTTCAATATCTAATTATAAATAGTTATACTTGCAGCCCTCCCTTGATACTCCTATTGGAAATAAATCAGGCTAATTTTTTTTATTATTATATGCTGTCAAAGTTAACTTCCCAAAATATCAACAAAACAACCTATCAATAAGACAAAACTGAGGGGTACTTGAGTAGCTCAGTCAACTGAGCAGCTGACTCTTGATTTCAGCTCAGGTCATGACCTGAGGATCCTGGGATCCAGCCCTGTGTTGGGCTCCATGCTCAGTGGGAAGTCTGATTCAGGATTTTCTCTCTCTCTCTCTTTCTCTCTCTCTTTCCCTCTCTCTCCACTAAAAAAAAGAAAAATCTTTTTTAAAAAGACAAAACTGGGTGCCTGGGTGGCTCAGTGGTTGAGCTTCTGCCTTTGGCTCAGGTTGTGATCCTGGAGACCCGGGATCAAGTCCCACATTGGGCTCCCTGCATGGAGCCTCCTTCTTCCTCCACCTGTGTCTCTGCCTCTCTCTCTCTCTCTCTCTCTCTCTCTGTGTGTCTCTCATGAATAAATAAAGAAAATCTTAAAAAAAAAAAGACAAAACTGACATTATTCTTACCTCAGTGAGGAAGAACACTTCTCTTGATAAAGTTGTAGAAGCAGCTCAGAAGCAGGACAAAATAGTGGTATTTATTGAGACTTTGAAGTTTGGTTTGGGCAGAGGGGTTGATCTTTTTTTTATTTTTATTTTTTTATTTATTGATGATAGTCACAGAGAGAGAGAGGCAGAGACACAGGCAGAGGGAGAAGCAGGCTCCATGCACCAGGAGCCCGACGTGGGATTCGATCCCGGGTCTCCAGGATCGCGCCCTGGGCCAAAGGCAGGCGCCAAACCGCTGCGCCACCCAGGGATCCCAAGTAGAGGCAAAAGTTGAGGATAAGAGTCATGATATAACAGCCTAGGATTGGTGGACACAGCCAAGCAAGAATTTTGAGGCCAGGGGTTCTAAGAGTCTTGAAATATATAGAACTATCATCATGTGATGCTTTCTATTGGAAAATTGGTGGTGCTTTTAGATGACTCCAGAAATGCACAACGATTTCATTAGCATTTTTAACATCCAGGCAAAGGTGCCATGAAATAGTTGTGTTAAGATGGATGCTAAGGTGTGTGGGTGTAGGAGATGTCAATTCTAACAGCTTTTTTAAAAGCTAGTAAGGAAAATTAAAGATGTATCCAGATACTGAGGGCACTTATCCCTGTGGGCAGAGCTTAAAATGAAAGAGCATAATTTTGGTAACACAGAAGGTTATTTGAACTTTCAAGAAATACCCCAGTCCCTGGTTTACATATTATTTCCCCGCCAACCATTCTCAGTTGAATGCCACCCGTTTTGTGGTAAGGCAGTATAAACATCAAGTGTCTTCAGAGGTGTAAACTCCCTAGTTAGACTGCATAGAAAAGTTTCTTTCCAGATTTAGAAGAATGCTACTCCTTGCAGAAGAGGCACTTCTAAATTTAACCAACCATAGATAGCATGGCAGGTCTTAAATAATTATTCTGACACTTGTTAAACCAGTAAGAGAAACTTTATCCAGGAGTATTGCCATAGGGATGTTATAATAGAGGAGATTGCACTCAACTCCAAATACAATAAGGTCAAGAAGATGGAAAATTACTAGGAGGAGACATCAAAGGTGGGGGAGGGGGGATTCCTGCTGAACTGACTTAACAGGATTCTTGCTAAAGACAGGCCAGGGATTGATCAATTATCAAGGGTGAGGAATCTCCTCTAAAGTGACTTAGCAGGATTCTGAGTTTGAGTTTATTTTTTACACTGCAATTAGGAAGAATAGGACCTTGACAAAATTCACGTTAAAAAAATAATTTCTTTATAGAACGGGAATGGTGAGAGTATAGGGTGGCTCAGTGGTGAAACGTCAGGGTTCTGGGATCAAGCCCCACATCAGGCTCCCTGTAGGGAGCCTGCTTCTCCCTCTGCCTAAGTCTCTGCCTCTCTTTGTGTCTCTCATGACTAAATTCTTTTTTAAAAAGGGGGGTGGAAAAAAATAAAAAATAAAAAGGGGGGTGGGAAAAAAAAAGGGGGGTGGGTGGGTGATGAAACACAGAAACTGAGACACCCAGGGAGACTGCTGGGTCTCCTTCAGGGGCTGACGGAAGGATGATTAAATGCAAAGGGGGGGTCTCATCTATAAGACTCTTAGTGAAGTGGTATGTAGAGGCAGAAGAAAATTAAGATGACCTCTCAATGGCCTTTTCTCGTTCAGGACTGAAAGAAAATTCTGTGATTTTTTACAAGTAAACGACTCCTTCTAGGGGAAGAAATAGGCTCCTTGGGGTGAGATTGCTGTTCTGGATGGGAGAAAACCACCTAGCGCAGCAGAGCAGCCCTGGAGCCCAGCACCTGAGTACTACAAGTCCCAGCAGGCACCGCGGCGGGGCGGGGCTTGGCAGCCGTTGTGACGTGGTAGGCGGGACCAGACGGGATGGGCTCTCCCCTGGGTTTTTAGCTCCGCCCCTACCCCTTGCTCTGCCCTGTTGCTGTTGCGCCGACGCCGGCTGCTACCCCCGGTGAGTTCCTGGGGTATAGGAGGGCAATTAGGGGCTTTTGGGCCCTTGGGTTCTCCAAATTCAGACTTTCACTCCTCAGAAAGGACCTTGGGAGGCAGAGGTGCGACTGGTTTCGGTTTTCACTTCCTTCCATCTTTCTAGGGTGACAGTAAGTGTGAGTGGCGTCATGGAGCCCCTGGAGCTCCTTCCACGGCCCTGGAGGGTTGAGGGGCAGTTTTCTCCCTAGGAACGCAGAGTTTCGGTGCTTGTCGCCGGGTGGCAGGCTCCTTGAGTAGAAGAGACCCCCTCTGACGCGAGTCGGTGTCTTGACGTCACGGCGTCAACCCCACCCCCACCCCGTCTTCTCACCCCCCTCCCCCCAACGGGCAGAGATCTTGGTAGTTCCTTAATCCCTGTCCTTGAGGCTTCAGCATCTCTGCTATGGGGCCGAGGCGAGCCCTAGGCAAGTTACTTTCTCTTTGGCCTCAGTTTCCCTGTTTGTAAGCTTGATCCCTGAAGTCCCATTTCTTCAGATGAGGCTTTCTGTAATTGGAGATATTCTAGGCAGAAGAAAGAGCAGCTGGAGTGTAATGACCTTCTGCTTCACAGTTGATTCCCGAGAGCCCCTCCCCACCGCTACCAATCAGCCCAATTTAGCAATTTAGTCTTGGGGCTGATGTTTTCCCATTATAATTTCAACCCCTCCTGGGCATGTTAACTTTTTTCTATCACTTGCACTTGGATTCTTTGCTCCTGGTGCAAGCCAACAAGTGGCTATTACTGGAGTTGAGTGGAAGGATACAGATGCTATGTATTATTATTATTTTTTTAAGATTTTATTTATTTATTCATGAGAGAGGCAGAGACGCAGGCAGAGAGAGAAGCAGGCTCCATGCAGGGAGCCCGACGTGGGACTCGATCCTGGGTCTCCAGGATCAGGCCCTGGGCTGAAGGCGGCGCTAAACCGCTAAGCCCCCCCGGGCTGCCCAGATGCTACGAATTATAATTTACTTCCCCCTGTTGCAAAAACCGTTTAAAACCGAGGACTCTGGGATCTATCTCTCTGTGACTATCATAAATAAATAAATTTAAAAAAATTTAAAAAAAAAACAAAAACCGAGGACTCTAATGCAGTAGGTCTTTGTAGGTTATGTAGAGTACATAATTAGGGAATATCCAGGTGACTCACTTTCACAGGTATTTTCAAAGGGCTTCTGCCTGAAACTCTACCCTTTAGCAGATATGATAGCTCTGGAGTAGAAAGGACCCCAAGAAAGGTAGTAGGAGATACATAGCACCAATAAGTATTATCTTTCAAGTCAGTATCTAGGGCTCTTTAAACACTTTGTACTTGTTGATATAATACCATGGTTCCTTATTTCCTTCGAAGAAAAGAGAGACTTAAAATGACCTTTGACTCTCTTTTTCCTTCACCAAGGTTCATTAAAGCTGGAAAGTTTCTTAGAGATTTTCTAGCCCAATCCATGCATTTTACTGATGAAGATACTGAGGCCTAAAAGGAGGTAGTGCGACTTGGCCAAGATATCAGAGCTAGTTAGTGGCAGAACTGACAAGAACCCAGGTCTCTTGGCTCCTAGCCTTGTTCCCTTTCCACTGCACTTCGAACCCTGTCACCACCCATGTCACTTCAGGGGTTAGCACAGTCACCCCTTTCAAGGAAAAAGTGTACCATCTCACTTAAGGTAAATAGAGGTTTAGGACACAGCTTTGAGGCTTTCACACAGTTTCTTCTATTGCCTGCATCTCATGTCCCAGAGCTGTTTTTCTTTCCTTTCCTAGTACTGCTGGCACGGCTGTTGTGGGATGTGGCTGAGGGCCTGCTTAGAACAAGCTGGGCAGCCAGTCCCAACAGTTGTTAATGAGGAGTACTACAAGCCTCCTGGAGATCTACAAGTTCTCTAAATCTCTGAAAGATTTTAGGTAAAGAACTAGAATGAACTTGGAAATTTCTAATTTCTAATTAGAGCAAGTAGTTCAGTAATTTGAAGGCTAATGACTGTGTATCTTTGCTTTTGCTCGGAGCCATAGTTGCCACTGTCCAGGTTTTCTAAGGGTAGTTTTGAGCATCTCTTCCAGTGCACGGGAGGAGTGGTATTGAAATCAGATCATCCATTTTGCTAATAGCTACTAGTTTAGAAAGTTACATAAGCAAGATGAAGGAATTAAATAGAGTTTGGGTTTGTTTGCTTCTCTTTGTTTTTACTGTTCCCAAACGAAGAATTGATTTGCATTTCTTTCTTGGCTTTGAGAACATTTGGTTTCCTTCTGTGAACTACTGATACTGATAGTCTTCATTTTTCTAAATATGTGCCCACTGGTACAAAAGGCTAATGTAAAACTGTTAGACATACTCTACAGTAGAACTTTAGTTATTTTTTTTCCTTAGTGTCTGTTCTTTTTTTAATAATAAATTTATTTTGGGGGATCCCTGGGTGGCGCAGCGGTTTGGCGCCTGCCTTTGGCCCAGGGCGCGATCCTGGAGACCCGGGATCGAATCCCACGTCGGGCTCCTGGTGCATGGAGCCTGCTTCTCCCTCTGCCTGTGTCTCTGCCTCTCTCTCTCTCTCTGTGTGTGACTATCATAAATAAATAAAAATTAAAAATAAATAAATAAATTTATTTTTTATTGGTGTTCAATTTGCCAACATACAGAATAACACCCAGTGCTCATCCCGTCAAAGTGCCCCCCTCAGTGCCCGCCACCCAGTCACCCCCCCCCCCCCCCCGCCCTCCTCCCCGTCCACCACCCCTAGTTCGTTTCCCAGAGTTAGGAGTATTCCAGGTTCTGTCTCCCTTTCTGATATTTCCTACCCATTTCTTCTCCCTTCCCCTCTATTCCTTTTCACTTTAGTTATTTTTTTAATATGCATGTCTTCATGGTTCAGCATACATGGGGAAAAATCTTTAGGAAGATTGGGGAGCTGATTTGGTTGCGTATTTGCATTGTTAGAGTCTGAACCAGGAAACGTTATAATATTTTAAAATTTTCCTGCTAGAAAGCATATCCGTGTGCTTTACAGATTCACTCAGCAAAAGTAGAATTAGCTGTTCATTTCTTCAGGAGAACGTAAGAGAATATATGCCCTCATGGAACAGTCATGGGAGTAGTATATTAGGCTTGAAAAGCTCATTAGATGAAAATGTGTCAGGTTTTCTTAGAAGCCAGAAGCCAGTTCAGGGGACTCATTTTAAAACACATTGCCTGTTACTGCATACATCCTCTGAGGACACTAATACTTTTGGAAACTGAGCTGGAAAAATCAGAGTCCAAGTGAAGTGCTTCTGACAGTTTGTAGAATCTCTGCATTGTTTTCCCATACTCAGTGGTTTGCTTTTAGACATTCCTATTTGTTTTCCCTGCTCACTCCTCATGTGGCTAGTCTTGGGTATGAGGGTAGGAGGAGGGAATTAGGTGGAAATCCCATGATTTCTATGGGGCCTAATTCATCCCACTGCTTTTACATGTCTCCATAGTTCTCCAGGCTTCTAAATTTAACTTTTGCTCTTTTACTATTTCTTACTTCCTTTCATGGATATTGTCAGAATTATAAGTGGATGGTGGAGAGGTTCTATAGTGGGAAGAGCAGTTAAAGAAGGGGAAGCTGATGCTTAAATCATTCTGCTTTTCTTTCCATGTCCTCTTTGGCCCCTCCACAAACAGTCCTTTCCGGACCACTTTGACAGCAAGGTGATTTCCCTAGCCAATTTCAGAGCCCAGTTCTCCCAAGGAACCTAATCACTGGGAAAGAGGAAAAGGTTTACTGAACAGGATCACTGATCTTAAAAATTAGTAGTAGATGCCTTCCTTCCAGAAAAAGTTTTTTTTTTTTTTTTTTTCAAAGATTTTATTTATTCATTCATGAGAGACACAGAGAGAAGCAGAGATACAGGCAGAGGGAAGAAGCAGGCTTCCTGCAGGGAGCCTGAAGCTAGACTTGATCCTAGGACTCTGGACCTGAGCCAAAGGCAGTCAACCACTGAGCCACCTAGGTGCCCCCCCCCCCTTTTTTTAAGCAGAAAAAGTTAAATCAGGTAACTCCTAACTGACCCAGGTCAGATTATCATGGTTATGCTCACGGCCTCTTCCGTCTTCAGCTTTGGTAAGAAGCAGAGAAGTGAAGCCATTGCTGTTCTCCACTCTGCCTACCTCCTCAGCTCCTTCCCCAGTCTTGGCAGAGGAGAGTTTCAAGAACAATTGAGTTCCAAATACCTAGAGAGCCGCTAGGTTCCCTCTGAGTTGTCCTGGTGATGAGATCTCTAAAATGGGAAACTTCACGGAGTCTTACATTTTTGATAAGGAACCAACCAAGACTGTTCACTTTTCCAGACAGATGATTTAGGTGTTTGTATGAGTGAAAAGAGCTAAAAAAAAAAAAAAAAAAAAAAAGAAAAAGAAAAAGGAAAGAAAAGAGAAAAGAAAAGAAAAGAGCTAGTTTCCTTGGGATGCCTGGGTGGTTCAGTGGTTGGGGCGCCTTCGGCCCAGGGAATAATCCTGGAGTCCTGGGATGGAGTCCCACATCGAGCTCCCTGCTTCTCCGTCTGCCTGTGTCTCTGCCTTTCTCTTTCTGTGTCTCTCATGAATAAATTAAAAAAAAAATTTTTTTTTAAAGAGCTAGTTTCCAGTGGCTATATGTAAACTCAAGCCTCAGAACATGAACTCTTGTGTATTTGTGTGTGTGTATGTGTGCATGCACACATGTGTGTACACATACTGTCCTTTCTCCAGTGTTCTGTTCATGAGTTTATAGATTGTTTTTCTAGTAGGAAAGAGGGTGTACGAAGCCCTCATACCCTTGGCTGGTCTTGCCTTTCAGAGTAACATCCATTTGCAAAACAGCTTGCCGGAGTTTGAGTGTAGAAGGTGGGTAATGGAGTGTGAATTTTATGGGTCCTTAAGGAAATCAAATCTGTGCCTTTTGTTTTTTTGGCACCATGCCACTTGAACCAGCTATGCCAGCTGAACCAGCCATACCAAGAATTGATATTGCACTTGGAGATTATCATCTTTTCATCCTATTTTAGAAAAAGAAAGCTGAGAAACAGCAGCTCCTCTAAGGTATCCAACAAATTAAGAGTAGGGCTTAAAAAAAGAATTAGCCCCACCGTCATTCACACCATTGTTTACCTACAAAGCCCCCCCTTCCTTTCACTTTTTGATGAATCACATGCATTTCATTTCACTTACTCAGTGAATAGTTAATCAGCAATTACTCTGGGCTAGACATTATGTTGTATATACAGGGGTGATAGTGTTATGAAGTAAAAGAGAGTTGAGTACTTAGGTTAATTGAGAGATAGGCCCTGAAGCCACTCTTACCTGAGTGTTCTTTATGATCCACAGACAACAGATTAAATTATTTTACAAGCTCATAAATGCTACTCCAGGCTGAGGACAGAGGGGATATGCTTGCCTCAGTATGACTTGAGACCTCTAGGAAAGAGAGGGGTCTGCAAGCTGAGAAACCTCCCTTCCCACCCTCCCATAGCATCCAAGAGATCACACAGGCAACAGCTTATCATGAGGAACTAGTTCTGACCTAGACTGGAGTGTGACCTCCCTTTTCCTGAGAAAAACTGATCTGAGGTTTGAGGTTAAGGATGTGGCTAAACTGTGCCACAACCCAGAAAGCCAATACATTTCTTACTTCCTTAACTCAATCCCAAGAATAGTTCAGTGCCACCAAAGTCCCCTTGCCTTCTCTTGTGAAAAAATTGACTACTGGAGGAGTTGGAAGAAGAGGCCTGGTTGTTCAGAGTTGAAAATAAAATCAGGAAATAAATAGGACCAGGCAGGACTAGAAGGGCTGTGTTTTTTGGTTATTGTACTTATTTTCAGAAATTGAATGTATACAATCTTTTGTATACAACCCAAATTTATAAGGTATCATATAGTAGTCCCCTGTACGCAGCTCTCCCTCATACAGCTCTCCTTCATCTGCTGTGTACAGCCACAATATTGTTTCTATTTCCCAATGAAACCCTAGGTTAAGGATCATAGACTCACTAAGTGTTAGACCTGGGGAACATTTAGAAGATGGAGTGGTGACTTTTGAGAGGCAGGAAGTGTTAGATCTCAACAATTTGAAAGACTTTGTTTCTTTTCTATATTGTTTTTACCTCCCAAATAGTTTGCCATCCTTTTATTCTGTACTGTGACCTGCAAAAGTGAAATACAGGTTATATCCCCAGTGTTTTAAATAGGGATCCAACTTGCTTGCTGTCCCCCAAACGAGCATTTCTCTCTTCTGTTGCTTTTATGCATGCCATTTCCTTCACCTGGAATTTCTTCACCCCCAAGGCTCATCTTCCTTGAGGGCTTATGCAGGACTCTACTCACCCCTCAGAGCTCTTCTCCATTTTCCTAGCCAGTTGCATCTCTCCCTCCTTTGAACCCAAGAGCATTTTGCACTGATTCCATCTATTTGTCAGTCACTTGTTTTCTCATTTAACTACCATGTTGCTATGGGACCCTTCTGAGGGCACAGACCATACCAGAAAACAAAACAAAACTCCACAATATTAAGAAAATCACTAATATCTGGCAAGCCCTTCTTGCAGACTCTGCTAGTACTTTATTCTATCATTCTACATATTTCTACTTTGTGTGACTATATGGCAAGTAGTGAGTTAAGGCCTGCAGATTTTGCATTATTTCAGTTAATGTTAAAAAAAAATGATGTAGGTGTTAATAGCCCTATTTTACAGGTGAGGGAACAGGCATTGAGCCCAGCTGATTTAAGTGTGTTGCTTAAGCTCATGCATTTAACGGGTGGTGAGGCTAGAATTTGAACTTCACTGTTCGGGTTTCAGAACCCATGCTTGTCATCGGTGCCTGTCAAATAATCTGCTCTCAACCCTACCTTTCTTCTGCACTCACACCCAGCTCCTAGCAGAATGCCTTAATACATACATGCAAAGACTTGATAATTATAGGATAAATGTAACTGAATGAAGAAACTGAAATCTAGAGAAATTGATGTTCCAAAAGTCACAGGACTTGTGGGATGAAAAATCTAGACTCTAGGTCATACCATTCCCAGCTCAGGTTATTTTCTTCTAGCCTGCCTTACTTAAGGCATTTAGAAAAAGTGGAACAAACAAGCTATAAGCAGAGAATAAAGGTACATGAGGGCGGTGGTGCCTGTGGTGGAGATCAAAGACATTCTTAGAAAGTTCTTAGAGCATAGGAAGCTATGAATACAAAATGGCTCAAAGTGAAACAGAAAGCAAGTGGTATGATCTCAGTCCTTGTCAGGCCTTTGCTTTTCCTGACTTGCCTCCAATGGAATGTTCCCTGGGTGAGAGCCCAGAAATCTCCCAACATTTCAGACAACACTGTCTGAGCTTTATTTTATCCTGTATCTCATAACAGGACGCCCACCATGGAAGAGACAGTAGAAGATCCCCCCACGTCAGCTGTCTTGCTGGATCATTGTCATTTCTCTCAGGTCATCTTTAACAGTGTGGAGAAGTTCTATGTCCCTGGAGGGGATGTCACATGCTATTACACGCTCACCCAGCATTTCATTCCCCGTCGAAAGGATTGGATTGGCATCTTTAGAGTAAGTGGTTAATTTAGTACCAAGTGACTGGGAACTAGAGGTTATCTGAGTGTGTGACTGTGTAATATAAGCATTTTGTGTCTTATATCTGGTCTTTTTAATTTTTTTTAAGATTTTACCTATTGAGAGAGAGAGAGTAGGACGTGGCATGGGGGAGGGGATAGAGGGATAAGCAGACTCCCTGTTGAGTGAGGAGTCCAGTGCAGGGCTCAATCCCAGGACTGTGAGATTATGACCTGAGCTGAAGTCAGACACTTAACCAACTGAGCCACCCAGGTGCCCCCCCCTCCCGCCCCCCTTTTTGGCCAAATTAAAAAAAAAATTTTTTTTTAATATTTTTACTTATTTATTTGACAGAGAGCATGAGCAGGGGGAGCAGTGGACAGAGAGGGAGAAACAGGCTCTCTGCTGCACAGGGAGCCTGACGCAGGGCTCGATCCCAGGACCTTGGGATCATGACCCGAGCTGAAGGCAGACCCTTAACCAACTGAGCCACCCAGGTGCCCCTTGCCAATTTAAAATCCTAAACTAAACTCTGGCACTCCCCTACCTCTGGTTCACACACCAGCATGTGCTATGGGACTCAAGTTTTAATTTCAGTTGCAAGCCAATATGGCAAATCCTATAGCCCCCCAAGTTTTATTATGCTTTCAAAGACCAAATGTAAATATTTTAAATTTATCTTATTTTGAAATATTCATCTGTGAGTTGGTGAGTGGCTCCTTAGGTAATTTCTGTGACCTTAAACGTTGCTTTCTTACTTAGAAGAGTGTTCAACTTGTTCAATATGAGTAATTACATACCTAAAAGGGATGTTGAGAAGTTGCCTGGTTTGACACCGTGCGTCCAAGAGGTTTGTTCCTGAATAAGTATGATTTGCTTCTTTGTAAAGATTTCCAGGCATAGAAATTTTCTGAGGTCCCTAATACCCTTCCAGTTAAAGTACAGAAATAGTACTTTTTTTTTATTATAATCAACTTATTCTCTACCTTCCATTCTCCCCCCATCTGTGTGTCTCTCTCTCACATCACACACACACACACACACACACACCCATAATGACAGATATTCCTATTATATCCAGAGACAGGAAATAAAGGTCAAATATAAGTAATTTACACTGCTGAATTCCAACGTAAATGACCTTTGTTTTGACACTTCAGTATGTCGTATGCTTATTTGCCAATGTTGTTTATCCTGAAATCAGACATCATTCTTGACTGCACTGTGAAGGAGCTGATGCTTATTCACAATCCTCATAGAGTTACTATTCCTTAATTGTTTGGAATTCCAAGCTAAATGATGGGGCCATGGAAGCTGGTATTTAGAGGCAGGGTAGTAGACAACCAGAGAGACACTGGCAAGTATCAGGATACCTCCTGAGACCGCAGATACTGAATCATTAGACTAAAGAATGTCCTGACACAGAAAACTGACATACCGAGTGTTTCCTATTTTGGAAAAGAGAATTCCTCCCCATGTGTAGCAAAGCTGTCCAGTAGAACTTTCTACTATGGAGCTGTACCTTCACTGTCCAGTATAGTGGCCTCTAGCCACATGTAGTTATTGAGCACTTAAAACGTAGCTAATGAATTAACTAAAATTAACTTAAATTTAAATGTTCTCATGTGGCTCATGGCTGTCATTCTGGACAGTGCAGATATGGATAATTTTAAAAGAGGACAATTAGAAAATTGTTTATTTGCCTTTGAAATGTAATCTATAACTTTTTTTTTTTTTTTTTTTGCAACACAGTTATAGTTCTGTTTAGCCTAGACTGTATTCTCCAAGGACGCAGCAACTTCCAGTGAGGACTTGACATAAACCAAATGAAAATATTATGATTTTTACTAACAAATGTTTAAAAACATTTTTGAAAACTGCATCTATATTTGGAATGCTTCATGTATTTCAGAGGTATGACCATGACTCCATAAAGAAAACCATTAATACAAAAAATGGCCTCTCATGTTCATTGTCCATAAAGCTATTATTGATTTGAACAGCTACCCAGCCTGAAAGAAAGTTTTAAGAATAATGAAGAGAATACAAACTTTTTGAGAACATATGATGTGCAAGGTTTTTGATTAGGTTTTATGCATGCTTGCATACATGAGTATGTGTGTTTTCTAACTGAGCCTCACAGCATAGCAGCACCCTCAGGGAGTGTTACCTCTTGTGCACAGATGAATAAAATGAATTACTCAAGATGGTGACTTTCCCAAGGTCTCCCAGTGAGTAAATGGTGAACATTTGTTTGATTCCTAAACCTCTTCTTTTTTTCCTACTCTGCTGAATTCATATGAACAACAGATGGTAAATTAGAGAATTAAGAGTTGATTATAAAATGTTGTCTTTCATATCTCCCTTGGAAAGCTCACCTGGTATTCTTATAGAATAGTCTCTCTCTTTCTCTTTTTTAAAAGATTTTATTTATTTTAGAGAGCATGCATGAGGAGGGGCAGAGGGAGAGAGAGAATCTCAAGCGGACCACATGCGGAGCACAGAGCCCAATGCAGGGCCTGATCCCACGACCCTGCAATCATGACTGCAGGGTTATCAAGAGTTGGATGATACACTGAGCCACCCAGACACCCTTCTTTTTAATTTTAAGTAAATTCCACATCATACATGGGGCTCATACTCATAACCCCGAGATCAAGAGTTGTATGCTCAGGGTGCCTGACTGGCTTAGTCAGTGGAGCTGAGCAACCCTTAATCTTGGGGTTGTGAGTTGAAGCCCCACATTGAGTGTAGAGATCACTTTAAAATTTTTTTCTGGAGCGCCTGGGTGGCTCAGTTGGTTAACTGTCTGCCTTCAGCTCAGGTAATGATCCCAGGGTCTTGAGATCAAGCCCTGCATCTGGCTCCCTCCTCAGAGGGGAGCTTGTTTCTCCCTCTGCTCCCGCTCCCCCTGCTTGTTCTCACACACTCACTCTGTCAAATAACTCTTTAATTTTTTTTCTTTTTTTTTTTTTTTAATTAAAAGTCTCAGGTAGCCCCGGTGGCACAGCCGTTTAGCGCCGCCTACAGCCCAGGATGTGATCCTGGAGACCCCGGATCAAGTCCCACGTCAGGCTCCCTCCATGGAGCCTGCTTCTCCCTCTGCCTGTGTCTCTGCCTCTCTCTCTCTGTCTCTCATGAATAAATAAATAAAATCTTTTTTAAAAAATTAATTAATTAAAAGTCTCATGCTCCACCAGCTGAGCCATTTGCAGTGCAGTCTCAACCATATTCCTCAGCTCCTCACCAGTCCTGATACTGATCCTTCCTGACACCAAGCAGGCACTTGTGAACTGTTTTTGAATGTGCTATATGCTTCATCTTCTCAATAGAGCAAAAGCTACAAGCAATGATAGAGCCTAAAGTAAGTGGGACTTGGCTTTCCTGCCTTTAGTGCTTAGTCCTGTGCTCCATGTTCTCCCTTACCTGGGAATTTAAATGTTTCCAAGGACTCAGGGGACCGTCATGCCATGAGAGGCCCACTGGGACTAGGACTACTCAGGTGGAGGAGCCAAGCCAGAAATTGCAGGTGGTTAGAAGTTTCCTTGTTCCAAGACTGCAGTAATTCTTAGGCCTTCCCAAATGATATTTTGGTCGCATTAAGAAACTCCAGGATGTGAATGAAGACTCCATAAAATTCCTGCTTCCTGTACCACCGCAGGCCATGGTGGCTCTGAGATGCTTACAGCAATGGGGTGTGTATTAATGAGACACTAAAACATGCCCTGGTATGTTCTGATGAGCTTTCAGTGTAGCCTTTTCAACCCTGCACTGATTCCTTCATATATAAAAATGGAATTTATTTTTAGTTCTTTTTCTTCCCACTGGGCTCAGGCAGGGTCAAAATATGGCAATAAATGTAATTTCACTTCTCATTTGCTGAGTGTTCTCCCCTTGAAGACACAGTGGCTCCCTTTCTATTCTCTGGTGTGCCCTTATCTTCCAGATATGACTTGAGCCATCTTTTACCCCTCTTCACATTTACTGAGAATATTTTCCACTTAGCCAGCTTTCTGCTCTGAGGCATATTTTACGGTATATTTATATCATGATTTATTGCATTCAATACCTAGAAGAGGCCTCTATGACTACCAGATTGTTGTCAGTATCTTTGTCACCAAAAAGCCTTCATTAAGCATGAATTAAGAAAAATACTGAAGAGGGATGCCTGGGTGGCTCAGCGGTTGAGCATCTGCCTTCGGCTCAGGGCGTGATCCCAGGATCTGGGATCGAGTTCCACATCGGGCTCCTTGCACAGAGCCTGCTTCTCCCTCTACCTGTGTCTCTACCTCTCTCTCTCTCTGTGTGTCTCATGAATAAATAAATAAAATCTTAAAAAAAAAAAAACACTGAAGAAAATTCTAACTGGACTCTGTTATCTGGGACCTACCTCATAATCTAAGAATGCTTTTGCCCCTCCACTCCCATATGCACATGATTCAAAAACTGTATTTTGGGGGCCACCTTGGTGGCTCAGTTAAGCATCTGCCTTCGGCTCAAGTCATAATCCCACAGTCTGGGATTGAGTCCCATGTTGGGCTTTCTGCTCAGCAGGGAGCCTGCTTCTCCCTCTGCCTGCCACTCCCCCTGCTTGTGCTTGATATCTCTCTCTCTCTCTCTCTCTCTCTCTCTCTCTCTCTCTCTCTCTCTCTCTCGTCAAACAAAATCTTAAGAACCGCAGTTTTTAAATGTACTAGTATAACTAGGTTGTTGGGTGACAAGACTGGCCTGGACACGGGAGAAGACTGATCAAGGGAGACGGCAAGTCAGAAGGACTTTGTGATTAAGAAGTTCTAAAAACACTGTTGGGAGAAGGTAGCAGGATCAAGATTCACACCCCCAGAACTGTCTTAACTATTTTCCCCAGTCACTCACCATTCTCTGTCAGATGTAATGATAGAATTTTTAGAACTCTTGTCTCAGGTGTCGAGGAGTCCGTTTTCATTCCCTTCTAAGACAGGTATTCTGCACTGTGTGTGTGCGCGCCAATATCTAGTTGTATCAGACCTCCTAGCACATATCATAATGGACTCATTCTGTGGTATTTTCAACATAAATAAAAAGTGAGTGCATTTTAAGAAGACCTTGCACAAATAAAGAGTTTCCTCTGAGCACTTTAAGATGTTGAATGAGAGCCTTCTGTCTTTGCAGGTGGGATGGAAGACAACCCGTGAGTATTACACCTTCATGTGGGTCACTTTGCCTGTTGATCTAAACAGCGACTCAGCCAAACAGCAGGAAGTCCAGTTCAAAGGTGAGAAAAATACTGGATCAAAGGTGTTGAAGACAGCAACCAAGACTAATTCCCTTGAGCTTAAGCTTTCTGAGGCAAATAAAAGACTTCCAGATTTTTAGTTTTCTTAACAGACCTTATTTTGGATTAAAAATCATCTTGTGTTTTCAGCTTATTACCTCCCCAAGGATGATGAGTATTACCAGTTCTGCTATGTGGATCAGGATGGTGTAGTTCGGGGAGCAAGTATCCCTTTCCAGTTCCGTCCAGAAAATGAGGAGGATATCCTGGTTGTTACCACTCAGGTCTGTAAACATATCCTCTCAATCCTTTCCTGCCATTAAGAGAAGTAATTTCAGGATAGGGTGGAATTTCTATCAATAGGCCTTTATCAGATGTCTTAACAGATACTACTGGGAGAAATGCATACAGTACCCACTCAAACCTACTCAGAAATGGCTTAGGAACATTGAAAGGAATCACAACAATAAGTGATTTATCCTTTCTCTAAAGCTGCTGTAACTCAGTTGGCATTCAGTTATTCCCCTAACTTTTCCAGTTACTTAATTTTGGTCATCTGCACATCTTACCACAATTTACAAGCTCCTTTGAGGAGGGATGCACCAAATATGCTTTGTAGCTCTCAGTTCTGACCCAGAGCCTGGCATACATGAATATTAGATTCCTTTAATTAGTTACTTCACAGGACACCTTTCCATTCAGCCCTGTGGTAGGCAGTGAAGAATACATTAAATCACTTACTGTCTTTGGCCTCTAGGAGCTGAGTCCATTAGGAGAGACAAACAGTACTAAGTGTTTGCAAGAAAAATCTACATTCTTCTGTCATTCCCCCTTTTAATTCTTTGTGGCCTTAATTTTGTCTTTCTTTCTTGGTAATGACAGGCTCAGTGTTGCAATCATACAGATATACCTACATTATCCCCTCCCCTTCGTACTGAAGAGGTGCTCCCATTCTGGGTACATGGATGTCACCATATGGGTGGGAATCCACCAGACCCTCAGCATCCTGGCCTATGGGAATGTTCCGCTAGAGGGACTTGATTATCTATCGAGCTATAAAGGGTCAAATATGAATTTATGGGATGCTCTTTCATAGGGTGAGGTGGAAGAAATTGAACAGCACAATAAGGAGCTTTGCAAAGAAAACCAGGAGCTGAAGGACAGCTGTGTCAGCCTCCAGAAGCAGAATTCAGACATGCAGGCTGAGCTCCAAAAGAAGGAGGTATGACTGCTAGTTAAATGTGAACCTGAAAACACACACACAAACCAAAAAATGAACCTGGAGTACTGAGGTCAGATCTGGATGGTGTCTCTTTTGCTTGTGATCTTACTCCCTTATACTGATATCTTTGAATAGGCACAGTGTTAATAGTTTTTATATAGATTACCTTATTTAAACTTTGGAGTAGGTACTATTATTACCCTGGTTTTATAGATGAGTAACCAGACGCCTAGAAGAGTACATAATCTCTTCAGCTAATCCGTCATGGAGCCAGGATTCAAACCCAGGCAGTCTGAACACTTCTTCCTCGTTCCTATGTAGACTGTAAATTATTCTTTTTGATTAGCTGGAATGTGGACGTCAAGAGAGTAAAGAGTATTACAGCAAGGTTGCAGATTATCCAAACTCTCTGCTACTTCTCTTTTGAAACATCTTTCCAATCAGCAGGTGGTAAATTAGAGTTGATAAGGAGCTAAAGAGGAGAGTCTTCTCTAAAGACTATAAAATGATTACACTGAGGTCATACCTTAGAAGTTCCAGAACACACAGACCTCAGCAGTCACCATCTTTAGAGCTCTTAATCTACAGGTGAGCACACTGGGGCCCAGAGGAAAGAGGAAAGCATCAGTTTAGTGATCACACTGGGTTAAGACTCTCTTCTCTTGACTCCCAGACGGACCATTCTTTATACTTTGCCTGTGATGTTCTCAGCCCTGGGCTGGTAAAGAAGTGTGGGTGACAGGTCCAGGCTGCAGATATGGCTTATTTCAGGCAGTGAGATAATAAACAGAAATGGCAGAGGTATAACTCACAATCTGTCAGAAACCAGTGTCTGCCTAGGAGCCCTACAGCTCACCTGCCAGGTGCTAGCCAAAGAATCAGAGGGTCTGGCTTCTTGGATTAGCTCTCCTGCCGACTTGCTACCAGTTGGAAGGATAACACAAGCCAGTATTTGTTCAACATCTACTATGTGCACTGTAAAAGGCACTATAATCAAGCGGATCACTTCCCTTAATCCTTACAACCACCCAGCAGCTCAAGAGATGTTAAGGTGATTTGCTCCATGTCACAATCAGTTCATGACTTTGAAAGGAGCTTAGATTTGAGCTCATATTTTTTTTATGTTAAAACTCATGTTTTTTAGGAATTAAAATATAAAACTTAATAAAAATGAGAGGAAAAACTCATGTACTTTACAGCCAGGACCTTATAATGGTTAGAAACCCCATATTTGGAGTTACACAGACTGGTTCTCCCACTTATTATTTGATGAAGCAGGAGAAATTTCTTAACATTTCTGAGTTTCAGTTTCCCTCTCGGGATTGGTAATACTTGTATTCTGAAAGAGAAACTAGTAACAGCCATGTTCATAACAGCAGCTTTCACAACAGCCAAAGGGTGGAGGCAGCCCAGGTGTCCAGTGACAGATACATGGATAGACATGGTTTAGCCTGTAGATAACAATGGAATATTAATTCAGCTTTAAAAAGGAAAGAAATTCTGACACATGCTACAACATGGATAAACATCAAGGACATTAAGCTGAATCAAATGTGTCAGACACAGAGAAACATCATGTGATTCCACTTGTATAAGGTCCCTGGAGTAGTCAACATCATAGAGACAGAGTAGAATGGTGGTGGCGGGGAGCAGAAGGGCGGGGGGGCGGGGAGGAACAGAGTGTTTTCATGGTATAGAGCTTCAGTTATGCACCATGAAAATAGTTCTGGTTTTATAACAGTGTGAATGTACTTAATGCCAGTGAACTCTAGGCTTAAAAATGGTTAAGATGGAAAATTTTATGTACCTTTTCCTACAATTTTTAAAAATTATTTTTAAAAAGATTATGAGGGGCACCTGGGTGGCTCAATGATTGAGCATCTGCCTTTGGCTCGGGTCATGATCCTGGGATCAAGTCCCACATCGGGCTTCCCACAGGGAGCCTGCTTCTCCCTCTGCCTATGTCTCTGCCTCTCTCTGTGTCTCTCTCATGAATAAATAAGATCTTAAAAATAAAAAGATTATGAATTTGTAAACCTTGAAGCTAAAAAAGAGGGAGTTGTTATTGACGCACAAGGTTGGCTACAGAACAAAGTTGGGAAAGAAAAATGTGTAGGCCCAGTATGGGGCCACTAGCCACATATGGCTCTTGAGCACTTGAAACATGGCATCTTGTGGTATGCTGTAAGCATAAAGGATGTATCGGATTTTGAAGACTTAATAAAAAAATTAAAATATTCCCCTTATTTATACTTTGAAACAATATTTCAGATATATTGGGTGAAATGTACTATTAGTAAAATGAAGTGTATCTGTTTCTTTTTACTTTTTTATTTTAATTTTTTTATTTTTTTTAGAATATTTTATTTATATATTCATGACTATTAGTAAAATGAAGTGTATCTGTTTTTACTTTTTTATTTTCATTTTTTATTTATTTATTTTTAGAATGTTTTATTTATATATTCATGAGAGAGACAGAGAGAGGCACAGGCACAGGCAGAGCTAAAGAGGAGAGTCTCGCAGGGAGCCTGATGTGGGACTCCATCCCGGGTCTCTAAGATTAGACCCTGGGCTGAAGGTGGTGCTAAACCTCTGAGCCACCGAGACTGCCCTCTTTTTACTTTTTAAACGTGGCTCCTAAACTTGAATTGTGTATGTGGCATTCATGAATCTATTGGACAGCACTTTTCAAAGAGAATAGTCGCTTTATTTCATTCGCTGCTGTGTCTGCAGTACAGGGCACTCCTTAAGTATTTGTTTAATGACACATTTTTTTTAAAGATTTTTTTTTAATTCATTCATGAAAGAGAGATTGAGAGAAGAGAGGCAGGCAGAGACACAGGCAGAGGGAGAAGCAGCCTCCGTGCCAGGAGCCTGACGTGGGACTCAATCTCGGGTCTCCAGGATCACGCCCTGAGCCAAAGGCAGGCGCTAAACCACTGAGCCACCCCGGGATCCCCTAATGACAAATTTTTTAATGGATGAATATAAGCTCCGGTGGAAGAGAAATTAAGATGAGTACATTTTGTGGAAAGAACAAATTAAGAACATTTCAATACGGAAACCCCTTTACTTGGATATTTCATTCACTGTTGTGACATGTAATAAGTACCTGACAGGTAGTAAGTGCCCAGTAAATATTTATTGGCTGCCTGAGATACTAATGGTTGTCTCAGAAATGGTCTATTCCTTTGACGTCTTGATCTGCAGGAGGACCTAGAAACTTTAAAGAGCACCAATAAGAAATTGGAACAGCAAGTGAAGGCGCAGAAGGACTGCTGGGAGACAGAGCTGCTTCAGTGAGTGTGATTATTGGATCTGCTATGTTACAGACCCACTTGGGCAGGGTCAAATTAGATCTCCAGAATTCTTTAGCAAACAGTCTTCCTATTAAGGTAGTGATAGGTGTGATTCTAGGTTGGAGAATTAGTATCTGAATGGTAAAGCGAAGTAACCTGAGTTTAAGTATTAATGTGAAGTGTTGCATACGTGCAGTTTGAGGTCAGGAAGCCAAAATAGTATTGAAGAAGAGTGGATTCTGAACTCATTCCGTACCCATAGGGTCAAGGCCAAATGGATTCTGAACTAATTCCAAGCCATAGGGCCAAGGCAGCCTTCAGTCGTTGAAGGCCTGGGGGATCTGATCTGGAATGAGTGTATTTTTCACGTAGTTCTCTTTACCTCCACAGACTGAAAGAACAAAATCAGAAGATGGCCACAGAAAATGAGAAGCTGGGAGTCCGAGTGGAGCAGCTCCAGGTAGGTAATGCCAGACCTTTCCCAAAGTTTACTATCTTCCCCTGGCTGTCACCCTGTGGTGGCCCAGAGAGAGAAAGATCCATTTCACTGTGGTGAGTACCTAACTGTGCCTTTCAAAGTGGCAAACTAAAGTTGCAGGGGGTTTTCTACTCTTGACCAACCCCCTACCCCGTTGACCACCCCCCTACCCCGTGCCCCAGCACACCATCATTATTACAGTGCTGGTCCACAAGGAACTGAATACTTTCTTCAATTCATATATTCCATGAGTTCTTAAGATGGAGGACTGTCAGCTCTACCAGTGCTTTTCAAACTTTTTTTTTTTTTTTAAGCTACATCTTTTCAAGCACTCTTTCTCAAAAGCCTAGAATGAAAAAAAAAAAAAAAGTCTAGAATGTAAAGCAGGTAACAGCTGAATCACTCTTGGTTTTCGGAAGCTGTGCCTTAGAGTGGTTTCTTGGATTTTCCTTAGTTGAGTTCTTAGACCCTCGGGGTGTGAGAAGTGAAGATGTTCCAGGGATGTCCAACATTTGGGAGTTGCCGAGGAATACACATTTCTCTGTGTTAGTGTACGTTAAGCAGTATTGTTCCTGTTCAGTTTTCCTTTTTTTATATCTTGGTTCACTATTTTTGGTTTAGGCCCAGCTTTCAACTGAAGAGAAAGAAATAGAGAAGCTTGTTCAGGGCAATCAAGATAAGACAGAGCAATTGGAGCATCTGAAAAAGGAAAAGAGCCAACTCCTTCTCACTTTAACTCAACAGGTAGAGTCACAGGTGGAACCAACATTTTTTAGACATTTGCAAGAAAACATACATTGTTCTTTCTTTACTCTGTCATATACCTGGCTATCACTGGCTGTGGGAAAGGTCTCAGAGGAGGTCATCTGAGATGAGGGATCTCATGGCTCTTCTCAGAAACAAGAGAAGACTTGCTTCTCTCTCTCTGCCTCCTGCTTGCTCACTAGCTCAGCCTGTGTTTGCCCAGCAGTGGTACTGACATCTGTTTTTGTGCAGAAGGAGCACCAGAAGAAGCTGGAGCAGACGGTAGAGGAAATGAAGCAGGAAGAAACAACTGCCAAGAAGAAACAACAAGAGTTAACGGCACGTCTGTCTTTGGATGGCTTTATGGGAGGGAATCTATGGGAAGGAAGGGACAGGGACTATTTTCAGGTGACACGATAAAAAAAGACAGGAGAATAGTGTTTACCTCTGGACATCTTGTTCTTCAACCAGAAGGATAGAGAATTTGTCATTTACAAAACGTTTAGGAGAGGTGGCCGTTTCTACGTGTGATCAGTGGTAAAGGGATATCGAAAGTACTTTATAACAGGTTGTCATCAGTAGAGCCTTGGGTCAGGAGTCACCCAGAGTCACCCCTACTCCCTTCTTATCATGGGGCAGACAAATGAACAATTATAAAGTCAAGTTCTACAGTTAGAAAATACTGCAGTAGTCAAAATCTTTGTTATAATTAATATTAGCATTTATCATCCTAAATTATTCTGAGCTATAGTAATATAGTAATGAAAGCCTAATTGATAATTTTCTATAATAGATTGTTGGAAAAGAGGCCTCATGGTGGTGATAGGTACCAGGAAGCCTCATTTTCTGAATTGATAGAAGGGTATGAGAAACCGTGGTGTCTGGAGGATATCTAGCTGTTGGGATTATAAATCCCATCGTGTATGCAGTATTATTCATTCACTCAGCCATTATTCAATCAACTAGGGAGTACCTACCATACACAAGATACTAGATATTTTAGCATGATAAACAGGAGAACAAAGTTAAGAAATCGGCCACTCACAGGTTAAGTTTAGCCCAAAGAAATGTTTTATTTGGCCTAGGTGGTGTTTTTTCAAAAATTGAGTCCATTACCAACAACTAAAAATAGGAACATTCCCCCCTTTTTTTTTTTTAAATGTGTATTTCTAGCTTCATGAAAACGTAGAGCCTCTGGCAGCATGGAGCCCGTGTTCCTGCACAGCAGCGATGCCTGGGCTGGGCGGCTGCTGCATCCTTTAGATAGGCCGCATGCTCTCACTCACCTATAGCCTTCACTGTTCTGTTGCCTTCAACTCCTTCATTCAGCCACATTACTGGCACAGCCCCAGCCGCCACAGTGGAGTTTGTGACCTCTGATGTAGCAAAGACATCACTATTTTAAGTAATCTGTCACCATTCGAAGGTTTGAACCTCCTTGTGGCAGGTATGGGTTTCCTTGGTTATTGTGGTATATATTTCAAGACCCGGGGGCTCAGTTCTTTGTTCCTCACATCCCCACAGGGCCCCTACCTATGAGGACTATGTGTCTTATACCTTAGGGGCCTAGGAACAAGAAAACAGCAGTGGAGGAGCAGTTAGTACAAGAGGTGGAGCGCCTAAAAGCAAAGGTAGAGGCCGGGAAAGCCTGTTTCTTAGAGAAGTACAAAGAGTGTCAACGACTCCACAGACAGATCAGGCAACTCAGGGCTGCTGCACTGGTAGGTGACAAGAGTCCAGGGGCCCAGGAAGAGTGGGGTGTGAAGGCCTGTGGTTCTTAGACCAAGCCTGGAGGACTGTCCACAGTTTTTAAGGAGAAACATTTTTCTTTCTGCTAAAAAGAGGAGGGATGGAGTGTGTGGCCAGAAACCAATCTGGGGATTCCCAGAAATAGAGGCCCCCGTCCAGCCAGGGGTCTCAGGGAAGGTTTTTGTAACCGTTGGGCAGGTTACTGTGCAGACTCAGATAGTCCTTTCTTATTTCTGCCTTTTGAGGAAGTGAAGCAGGACCAGAAGAGCCAGCAAGAGCCAATGGGGATGGGGAGCCAGGAGCCTGCAGTCACTGTCATCGGGTAGCCTCTCTGGCGTTACTACCTCAGGGTCGGCTAGAAGCGCACAGCAGTTTGGGCACCAGCGTTCAAATAAAAAAATCTTGGAAAAAAACCACAACTAGTAGGATTAGCTTAAGTGTTTTTGTGAGGTATGTGCATATGTACGTCTGTAGGTAGGAGATGGGAAGCACGGAAGCATGCCTACCAGTTTGGGGTTTATGAAATTAGATCAGCCCAGGTTCCTTGTCTCAGATAAATGCCTTCCAGGGTTCCTTCTTCCTCAGTGTCACTGGAGTCCAGATGCCTGTCCTTCCCGGGAGGGAGTCACACAGACCTATGTACCTCACACCACATCAAGTGAGACATTACTCAAGACAAAAATGCTTGTTTCCATGGTTGGGTGCAGTTGTAAACAGGGTTCCATTTACTCCTAATTGAGAAGTCAGTCTTAGGGCTTTTCCCAAGCTTATTACTTTTCCACTCTTTGGTCACTTATACTACCAGCTAAACCAGAAGAAATAGGCATCTCGATGCCAGGCCTTCAGGCATTTTATTAAATCACTTCTTTGTAAGCCAGCATTGTCTCCACTGTGCCTTCTCTGCACCCCAGCTCCCTTCTCCCCTACTTCAGTCCCACCACTTTGGGAAACCAGATCCTCTACAATCCCCTTGTTTTACCCCACCTCGGACCCAGATTATAGTATGTGATCCTAATCCTAATTGTTTTTTGTTACTGACAGGATGAGAACTCTGGCCTGTCTAAAACACTGAGTGAGAACAAGATTATGTGTAGCACTCTGCAAAGAGAAAAAGAGAGGTTGGAAAAAGAAAATGATGTAAGTGTGTACAAGAGGGTAGAAACCCCAAGGTGTTTTGTTTTGTTTTGTTAAAGATTTATTTATTTGAAAGAGAGCACATGGTAGGTGCAGAGGGGAGAGGGAGAGAGAATCTCAAGCAGACTCCCCGCTGAGCATAGAGGCTGACTTGGGACCCAATCTCATGACCCTAAAATCTTGAGCTGAAATCAAGAGTTGGCCACTGGGGTGCCTGGGTGGCTCAGTCAGTTGAGTGTCTGCCCTTGGCTCGGGTCATGGTCCCAGGGTCCTGGGATTGAGCTCCACATTGGGTTCCCGGCTTGGCTGGGAACCTGCTTCTCTGTCTTCCTCTGCCTGCCACTCCCTTCTTGTGCTCTCTCTTCCTTTGTCAAAAAAATGGATAAAATTTTTAAAGAAAAAAAAGAGGGATCCCTGGGTGGCGCAGCGGTTTAGCGCCTGCCTTTGGCCCAGGGCGCGATCCTGGAGACCCGGGATCGAATCCCACATCAGGCTCCCGGTGCATGGAGCCTGCTTCTCCCTCTGCCTGTGTCTCTGCCTCTCTCTCTCTCTCTCTCTATCATAAATAAATAAAAATTAAAAAAAAAAAAAAAAGAGTTGGTCACTTAACTGACTGAACCACCTGGGGGCCCCTAGAAACCTCAGGGTTTTAAGGAAAAGAATCAGGGTGACCCAGAGATGTGATAAAAACTTCACACCTATTGTAGCTGTTGTCTTTGGAGAAAAATATCCTACATCATTTTTAGGCTGAGGGGACCCCTTTCCTTCAGCACAACTCTTTCCTTTTCTTCTACCAAACCAGGGCAGTAGTGACAGTCTGTGCCAGTGTTGGACCCATGGCAGGCCCCTAATAAAATGCTCTGCATTCATTTACTCATTCATTCATTCATCCAGTCAATATTTATTTTCTTCTGTAGATTAAACACAAGCTATTATTGGTTGATCAAGGATGATGGCAGCAAATAAGCTGCACTTGGGGGCACCTGGCTGACTCAGTCGGAGGAGCATGTGACTCTTGATCCTCAGGGTTGTGGGTTCAAGCCCCATACTGGATATAGAGATTATTAAAAACAATAAATAAAAACTTTAAAAAAAAAAGCTGTAGTTAAAGGTACTTTCGTGCTCTTGCATCAGAGTTAGATGTCCATGCCCTCTGGCTTCTGCTCCTAGATCTACACCCCCCCATGGTTCTCCATCTTTCCCCTCTCTATAACCGTGCTGGGCCAGGCTTCTAAATGATCATCACTAGGTTTACGTCATTTATGCCAGTGCCTTTCAGCATCATAGGAGCCTTAGTCTATTTCCAGTCCTGTCATCCTCACCCTCTTGATTTAGATATATATAGGTTGACTTTGAAATCTCTGTTTCCTGGTATAGTTTGATGGGGCAGTGGGAGGGAGGGAGGGAGGATACACATAATTTGCAACAAGAAGGAAAAGATCTGATATTTGAAAGTTTTAAGAGCTTTATAGTAAAGCCCTCTTAAGATGTTAAGGGGCAGTTTACTCATTTTTTTCTCTAAGAACTTTCTTTTTCTAAGAATAAATGCTGTATGTCCTCCTTGCTTGTTTTCTCTCAAATCTCCCTCATTCCTTCCCTGTCTTCCTCTTTCTCCTTCCTTCCTTCCTTCCTTCCTTCCTTCCTTCCTTCCTTCCTTCCTTCCTTCCTTCCTTCCTTCCCTCTCTGTTGGTATATGTATTTGAAAGGATAAAACATGAAGAAGGGAAAATTAGATGAATATTCACATTGTGTAAGAAAATTGTTCTAGGAAGGGAACTAAAAGAAGCATTTTGCTCTCGGGTGCCTGGGTGACTCCATTGGTTAAGCGTCTGCCTTCCACTCAGGTCCATGATCCTGGGGTCCTGGGATTGAGCCCCACATCAGGCTCCTTGTTCATCGGGGAGTCTGCTTCTTCTCCCTCTGCCTCTCCCCCTGCTTGGGCGCATGTGCGCATGCTGTCTCTCTCTCTCAAATATATAAATCTTAAAAAAAATTTTTTTGCCCTCAATAATGTATAACAGCTTCAACTTTAATATAGCTCCTGCCACCCTCTTATATGCACACAACTTTTGTACCCACCTTCAGTTGGTATGTATTTAGAGACTTACAAGTCTTTTTTGCATTTAACAATTCAGTATGCATTTAAATTCAGGCATTGGGAACTGAGATCTTCAGAGTATTGAGGCTGCTGTTTTTTCCCCTTTAGAAGAATAACAATTTATCACTTCCTGGGATTCTCCAGTGCCACATTGTTCATTGAGAACTACCTGTAATGGGCATCCTCTGGCTCGTGTGGCCATTCTTTGTTGTCTTTTAACATGTCTCTATAAATGTTCTCTTCCTAGCTTTTGAAGAGGGAGAACAGCAGATTGCTGAGTTACATGGGTCTGGATTTTGACTCGTTGCCATATCAAGCACCTACTTCAGATCAAGGAGGTGCAGGACAAAACCCAGCACTTGTCTATGGAAACCCATATTCTGGTAAGACAACTGCCATTTGAGTTAGAAGGCCCTTGCCTGCAGCCATCTCCCTGACTAAATTTTTTTTTTTTTTTTGGTCTGAGATGCTAATTAAGACCAGTCTCATTGTTAAGACTTGCTGGGCAGAAGCTGAGGACCCAATAGAAAGATTGCCAGGCGAGAAGTGTTAATTGAGAAATAAATCTGAATCTAGAAGACGCAAATCAGATCATTCGCCTAGAGGCAGCAGACACAAATTGAGTCCCGTGGCTATATTCCAAATATATAAATCAGAGAAATGTCTCTATGCAGAAGATATACACATACAAAGCTGAGGAAGCTAATTAAGGTTTGGAAATGGAAGCATAAGAGATGGGTATGCCACCCAGGAATGGGCAGTTGTGGCAGCCATTCTGATGGCCTGACCAAGGGTAGCGGCAGCATGCCCCACAGAAACCCCGGGGTGGTTTGGAGGTCAGGAACAGGGATGAAAACCAGTCTTGTGGGATCCCTGGGTGGCGTAGCGGTTTAGCGCCTGCCTTTGGCCCAGGGCGTGATCTTGGAGACCCAGGATCGAATCCCATGTCGGGCTCCCTGCATGGAGCCTGCTTCTCCCTCTGCCTATGTATCTGCCTCTCTCTCTGTGTGTGTGACTATCATTAAAAAAAAAAAAAAAAAAAAAAAAAAAAAAAAGTCTTGTTACTCAAAGGCAGGGTGTCAGATTGTCCTTGTCAGGGACAAGGGAATAGGGAACTTTTTTCTTTTCTCCAAAAGTGATAGAAGACCTCGTTTCCTTTTCTTGACAGTTTAAAGCAGTTGTGTTCTCTTAAAAGTCACAATCAAAAAAAAAAAAAAAGTCCCAATCAAATCTTTACAACAGGCAGAGTTACACATTTTCTCTTTCAAAATATTTTTAAGATACCTATTTGCATGGCTTTAGTCTTAAAATCTATTCTCAAATTGCTTTCTTATTAAGTCATGACATTTTTTTAAAATCTGATATTCCCTATGCTGAAAAGAGGAGGTATTTTTTTCCTAATTATATAGCATAAACGTGTGTATCAAAAATGCCTCTTCATTATTTTTTCCTCTTTTCCCTTTATCACTGACCTAGATCCCCTCTATCAGCAGTTAATGGTACATAGGAGAAAGAATGAGTCAGATGCAATGGGGAGAAAGGGAATGAAGGGAGTTACAGAAACCAGCTGCTAGATGACAGCTGGAGAATCCAGGGATGGTATTTCTTTCACTGAAGGGAATCTTTTTTATGATCCTCAGGTATCCAGGAAAGTTCAGCCCCAAGCCTGGTAAGTATGTGAATCATGAGATTGCCCACACCAAATCCTTGAGAAATGCCCCTTCCTGCTCCAGTTCATGAGAGAACCATAGGGAGACTGGTTCATTTTGATAACTCCAGAAGTCACCTGGATCAGTTGGGTCAAAACCCCAAGCTGAGTGAGCCTGTTGTGGTGGGGAGGAGAAAGCACGGTTCACCCATCAGGTTTCTGCTGCAGATTTCCACCTGTGAGCAGAGTTTGGTACCAGAACAAGGGAGGAGATGTGAACTAGGCAGCCAGCCCGACACGATATGTCCAGCGCCCCTTCTGGGACGGAAGTTCTCGGAGTGCTTTAACATAGTAGGTCCTTTCAATCCTGAGGTAGGAAAGCCTCAGTCAGTATCTCCAAATATGAATTTGTTCATTCATCCTCTGCTTCTTGGGCACCTGCTGTGTACCAAGCATCCTGCTCTGTGCTGAGGATATACTAGGACCGAGACCTGGCCCCTGCCGCTTAGGGCTTACACCGGTGCTGATTGCTGCTCTTCTCCCCAGCGCACCAAGAAGAGATGCCCCACCTGCAAATCAGACTTGGCTGACGACATTTTTGGTCCCACCTTGGAGCAGCAGCACATGGAGGCTCTTTGTTTGAATTGTCCAATTTGTGACAAGACCTTCCCAGCAAGAGAGAAGCAGATCTTTGAAGACCATGTGTTTTGCCACACTCTCTGAGTGTCCCAGCCTCGGGTCTGTACCGTACTCGGGCTTTCATAGAGTAGAACCTATAGCTTCTACTTAGGAGTTACGACCCATGATCCTGCCTAACATGAAATTAGGGATTTAACTCAGTCCTGCTGCCCTAAGGATGGAGTCACGTCGATTATCTGAAGAATAGTGGTGAGCGCTTACTTCCATCCTTGTGAGTTACTACCTTTTAGATCACACAACTAGCTGGGTCATCCTCACCTCTGGTGCCCAGTCTTATGAGGGCCTCCGGTGTAAGGGCCCTGGGCTGGAACTGAGCGGGCCCTTCATTCACAACAGCCTTGACTTGAGTACGAAGTAATTCCTTTTCTGAGTTGGCCCAGTGCCCATCAAGGTCAGCCCTTGAGTATATTTGCAGTCAGCTCTCAGTCCTAACCTTGTGGCTGGTGATTGAGCAGAGATTGAGAATTTCTTCCTCCTCCTCCTCTCCCTCCTCCACCACCACCACCACCACCACCACCACCTCCACCTCCACGTCCTCAGGTCTCTTTCTCCCACTGATTGAATTAAAGTAGCCAAAAAGGGCACCACAGACAACTCCAACATCCAATTGCAATACCAAAGGTTTCTCATCCTGATTTCTCAGCTCCCAGCAGAAACATCTTATTCCTGAACCATGGATACAAAATATTATTTCAGTCACAGAAAGCCTTCTTTGTCTCTGGATACCTCTGGCATTTTCTACTCTTTGATCTTTCCTATTCACATAATCTTTATTGTAACTCCTTTCCTAATTATTAGTAGGACTTGTTAGAAACTGTCTGGGTCTGCCTCTTTCTGAGCAGGTGAGTTTGAATATGGATAAGTCAGAATAATGAGAACTATTGTTAATCTCTTTAATACTAAAAATAAACTTGTCCTCTATTTCGGGGACTTTGGTCATTTAAATTGGTAATTTGACTTTCTGGTCTTTTGTTTTAAGCTTCTGTGTAAAGGGTACCAACAGGCTTGTGGAAATCGGAGAGCCTACCAATCAGTTTCACTTGTCTTAGCTAGTCAACAAGAGTGTCCTGGCACTTACCTTGAGATGGAGAGGAAGGCGACAGAGCATTAGCTTGAGCAATCTGGACCCTTGGCTTCTTGCTCTAACTTTCCTTATGCTTTTGAAAGGGGGCAGAGTGGATTGTGCCACCTTTCATGAACTAGGTTTGGTTCTTCCATCCAGATAAGAAAGCAATTCCATTTTCTTCCCTCTCACCCTCCCACACCCACCTCCTGCTCCCAAGGAACTGAACAAATGGAAATGACTCTCAAGCAGTCAACCAGCTGGTCACCATAGAGACTTTTACAAACACTTCTGTGGGGCAGCCCGGTGGCTCAGCGGTTTAACACCACCTTAGGTCCTGGACCTGGGATCGAGTCCCATGTTGGGCTCCCTGCGTGGAGCCTGCTTCTCCCTCTGCCTGTGTCTCTGCCTCCCTCTCCCTCTCTCTCTCTCTCTCTCTCTCTCTCTCTAATAAAATCTTTAAAAAAACAAAAAACCCACAAAAACTTCTGAATGATGTAAAACACGATATCATAAATAAGGTTGAGTCAAACTTCCTTCTGAGGTTTTCCCTGATGTGATGAGAGTTATGCCCTAGACTAACTGTATTGTCCTGGTCACTGCTCCTTGTCTTTATTTCAGTCCTTTGATAAAATAAAACTATACGCCGCCTCCTCCTGTATCACCATTTCAAGGAGATGTCTCTTGGACCCCAGCTTTTTTTGCCCCTTAAGAATCAAATGTGATGGGACGCCTGGGTGGCTCAGCAGTTGTCTGCCTTTGGCTCAGGGTGTGATCCTGGAGTCTCAAGATCAAATCCCATATCAGGATCCCTGCAGGAAGCCTACTTCTGCCTATGTCTCTGCCTATCTCTGTGTCTCTCATGAATAAATAAAATCTAAAAAAAATAATAATAAAGGGATGCCTGGATGGCTCAGTGGTTGAGCATCTACCTTCGGCTCAGGGTGTGATCCCGGGATCTGGGATGAAGTCCCACATCGGGCTCCTTGCAGGGAGCTCGCTTCTCCCTTTGCCTCTGTCTTTGTCTCTTATGAATAAGTAAATAAAATATTTTTTAAAATAATCTTTAAAAAAAAAAACCAGATGCGACATTAAGGCTAACTGTAGCACAGACGTGTAATGAAGAGAGAGTACCACCATTTTCCTGGCAGATCCTCTTCCTTTCCGCAGAATTTTTGCTGCTTCCCACTTCGTGAAGAAGTTCAGTTTCATTTATTTTGTACTAGTCAGCTCTTAATTAAGCACATGAATGGAGAAGAGCAGTGGTGCACATAATCCAAATCAGTGAATACCATTTTCTGGTGAATTACCCACCCCCTTTGCCCCTGTTACCCTGAGGGTTACCATGATTATCAACAGCAGCAGGAGCCCTTCACCGGCTTGGTAAAAAACCGATGTGTTAATGATCCTTTTTGCTGGATGTAAAACAAAGCATCTTTAACCACTGTTCATTATCCCCAGCTGCTCTTACCAAGGCTTTGAAGGGGAAATTCTGCTCCAGGCAGCTCCTACTGAAAGGAAACAATCATTCTTATATAATCCATTTCTCACCCCAGCCTTTCCCCTCTAACCTCCTTGTACCCACACGTTACGGCTATAAAATACCTGCAAAAAGGAGCAGGAAGTTATGGGAGCAAACAGTATTTATGCCTAAATTGGATTTTAGAATCTTTGTACTTACTATGGCAACAAATTTTCCTTCCTAATTCACTTCTGGTCTAATATTAAAATGGTTGCATTACTTAGCACACTTAAGTGATGGGTGGTGGGGAAAAGTCACCTGGCACACGTGTGCGTGTGAGAGAGTGGTGAGAGAGAGCGAATTAAAATCAGTAAAGTGAGGGATTCCTGGGTGGCTCAGCGGTTGAGTGCCTGCCTTCGGCCCAGGGCGTGATCCTGGAGACCCAGGATCAAATCCTACGTCGGGCTCACTGCATGGAGCCTGCTTCTCCCTCTGCCTATGTCTCTGCCTCTCTCTCTCTCATGAATAAATAAAATCTTAAAAATAAAATCAGTAAGGTGAAAAAATATAATAAAGTGTGAGTTGGCAAAGTATTATGTAAACCTAGCCCCCCCCCCCAACACCTGTGGCTTCAGCCCTTTTCCCTGGTCTTGCTAAAAAACAGGATGAAATGAAACTGCCTTGATGTTTAAATATCTTTCCCCTATGATTTTGGTGATTTTCTGCAGTGGCAGTGGATTGCACAGAGCTAAGCTCTAACCTGGTCTCCTAGCAACAAATGGTAATGAGATGACAGGCCCTGAGCTGAGAGATGGCAGGCCGTCACCTAGGAAAAAAGCAAAATGGTTTATACATGGGGATCTGACCCAGAGACACTCAACTAATTGCCCTAAGGTGTAACCAACACGAGCCACAAACTCTGGAGAAGTTATGCAAGCCCCAGCACTCTCACTTGCTCTCATGTAATTATAAATATAATGTCTCTACATGCATGTAGGGTTTCATGTGACTGTGTTCCTACATCCCATGTCTACTCTCCGTAATCTCTGTAGCAGGCAGCTATGAACTCCCATCTTTATAGATGTATAAGTTGAAACATGGAGAAGTAACTTGCCCTAAAAGTATAAACCACCCAAATTCCCATCAGGTGAGGAATGGGTAAATAAAATATGGTATATCTAGAGGATAAGAGATTACTTGCCAAGAAAAGGGATTGAGGGGTGTCTGCCAGTCAAATGGAGCATGTGATTCTTGATCTTGGGGTTGTGACTTTGAGACCCACACTGAGCGTAGAGATTACTTAAGAATTTTTTTTTTTTAAAGGAGAGGCACCAGGGTGGCCCAATTGTTTAAGCATCCAACTCTGATTTTAGTGTTGTGAGTTCAAGCCCCATTTTGGGCTCCCTGCTGGGCATGGAGCCTACTTAACAAAAAAGAAATTGAGTACTAATATGTCACAACATGGAAGGGCCTTGAAAACATGCTAAGCGGAAGAAGCCCATCACAAAAGACCAGATAGTATATGATTCCATTTATATGAAACATCCAAGATAGGCAAATCGTAGAAACAAAATAGAGGAGTGTTTTCCTAAGGCTGAGGGTTGGGGGAAATTGGAGAGTCAAAGCTCGTGGGTATGGAGTATCTCTTGAGGATAAAGAAAATGTTCTAAAAAAAAAAAAAAAAAGAAAGAAAAAATGTTCTAAAATTTATCATGGAGATGGTTGCACGACTCAATATACTACAAGCTATTACACACTTTATTTTTTTATTACACACTTTAAATGAATGAATTGTACGCTATATGAATCCTATCTCAAGTTGTATTTTTAAAAGGTTAAAAAGCTTGCTAAGGTCATCCATTGACTCACGGCAGTGTCTTACATACAGACACAGAGCTGGGTCCACATTATTGAACTTGGTTAGCATATACTTTAGTACAACCCACTGGCAGCCACAACAGCGTTGGGTTCTCCCCTATCAGGCTGGAAGCAGGCAGCAGCTTCAGTTGTGATGGAATCAAGACAAACAGGGTCAGGGCAATTATTAGTAGTTCACCATTTGGCCAGCATCATTAGTGGTCTCTGGGAATATCTATTCTGTAGAGATAAATGTACCCAATAAAGTTAGGGGAGAGAGTCACCAGCCACAAATTTCAGATAATCATATTAAGGTATCCAGCCTGCTCTGCCTAATGTTATTATTTTCTCCCTGTGGAAAGAAAGAATATGACACTCTGGGGACTCCGTCTATTGTTTACTCAGTCAATCAACATTTATTGAGCACCCACAGTGTGCAGAACTAGCCTGGGCCAGGATTTTTTTTTTTTTTTTTTTTTTTTTTTAAATTTTTATTTATTTATGATAGTCACACAGAGAGAGAGGGAGAGAGAGGCAGAGACACAGGCAGAGGGAGAAGCAGGCTCCACGCACCGGGAGCCCGACGTGGGACTCGATCCCGGGTCTCCAGGATCGCGCCCTGGGCCAAAGGCAGGCGCCACACCGCTGCGCCACCCAGGGATCCCAGGATTTTAAAAAATAGAAAAGTTCTTCCCTTGAGGTATCTACAAGATTAATGAAGACATTCTCTCTGCCCTCAGGGAACTCTTAAACTGCTGGGGGAGAGAGTCTCAGGCTTCAGGGGACTCCTATTCTGATGGGGAAAAGAGCCACCCAAAAAAGCAATCTGAAGATACAAAGATAAGGAAAGTCGTCTCATAGACTGAGGACACAAGGGCTGTGGGACCCAGGTGTTAACAAACGTGTGATAAGGGCGCCTGGGTGACTCAGTGGTGGAGTGTCTGCCTTCTGCTCAGGTCATGATCCCAACCCGGGATCTGGGGATGAATCCCGCACCTGGCTCCTCACAAGGAGCCTGCCTCTCCCTCTGCCTGTGTCTCTGCCTCTCTCTGTGTGTCTCTCATGAATAAATAAATAAAATCTTTGAAAAAAAAAAAAGGTGTGGTAAAAGCCCAAGTCAATGATGGCTTACAAGACTGCTTTTGAAGAGGTTGAGGGAGAGAAATAGCAGGCAAAAATGGGATTGTATTGAGGGTCTCTACCAAGGGAGAGGGAGCAGGGGCCCAGAATGCAAATAACTTTTAAGCAGAAGTACTAGAATATAAAAAGAGGGGACTGAGAGCCCCATTCCAGGGGCCTCTGTGCTGTTCCCACTGAAGCCTTCCCTCTTGCTTTCGTGGTTAAAACAAAGCCACAGTTCAGAAGGAGAACTACACACACTCTGTACCGACGACGTATTTGCTTGGCTTCTGTACTGTCCTAGTGACATAGAAAATGTAACCATTAGGGGAAAGTGAGTGAAGTGGACAGGAGACATCTTTCTACCATCTCTGCAACTTTCTGTGAATGCAAAATTAAAAGGTTTTTTTTTTCTTTTAAGAAAGGAAAAAGAAACCAGTTTCTGTCCCGA